CAGCTAAGGATCGATATCTGAATATTAGCAACACCGGACAGGATCTGTGGAGGAAACAAATGTAATAGCATAGGGCGTTGTCAATATCAACGCATACCAAATCAGCTTATAGCTATGAATTCAAAGGACGCATGAGAAAGTTCATGCCAAATAGGGAACCAAATTTTATGGAGAATAGGAATGTTAGTCGAGAAAGAAACTCTCTTTAAATTTCAGATGGGTTATATTGCTGGTGACTTGATTTTGTGATGAGAATATCACGAGTCGGTTCTTTAAAAAGGTTAGTCTACTTGATTCTCTATTCTACTTGCTTTCCTATCTCAGCATTGTGATGAACAAATCACAGCTTTTTAACCCTTAATGGTATCTACATACCTTGAAGACCAAAAAACAACAACTCTAATTTTTTCCTGAATGCTTTTGAAACCTCACTACCCGTCACAAAACCGTATGGCGCCTGAATCAAACTGACATTTCAAATACCTACAGACTACTATCGAGATTATAAGTTCCATGATACATGTTCATTGACCGCTACACACTAGCAAGGCAGAAGCCTCTCCTTTAGAATTTGAAACAGGCAGATCCCGAATTTCTAGCTTTATTATCCATATTAATTAAGCGCTATGTTACTAATAAACAGTAAAGTTTTCATCAATTTCAAACCAATTCATAATCCGACTCTCCAAGGCCAGCGAGTCCCAAAAAGAACTCACTCAAACCCCATGCACCTGGATCCGGAACCTGTTCGAAACCAGTACCTCCGATATACACAGTTCTTCCTAAACTAGCTTTCATTCCCTTTGTGCCCTCGGCGCCTTTCCTGGACGCTTCGGCTGCTTTCTTAATATCTCCCGTTTTATTAAGTGTCTCAACAAATGGATGTAAGGCATCTACCAAAGTGCGATCTCCAGGTTTCGCTGGTGTATATCTTGAAAGGGCTTCAGACGCGGAATGTAATGCCTTTGCCCAAACTTCTGGAGTTGCTTGTCCTGTAGAAGCATTTTCGCGGAGAGCAGCCAAAAGAGAATTTAGGAAGATAGCATATAGGGCTCCAGAAGTGCCATCCATGGTATTTTCGACCACTTGAACAATTCTTGCAAGATCGACAACAGCATCACCGGATAGCTTCTCCTTCGAGATGGTTGATAATACAGCTGTACAGCTTGTTAGCTCATAATAGATTCGCCGAATTGGCACACTTACATTCAGCTCCCCTCTTAAGACCAATACCGCAATCTCCATCCCCAACTACTGTGTCAAATCGAGTGACATCGGGTTCTGCTGCAATGATTCTCTCGAGTCCAGCGGTCAAAGCTTTCTTTGTTACTTCTGGGTCTAGTTTCAATCCACTGGGCTTAACCTCCTCTTCAGCACCAGCAGAGCCGGTTCTAGTTTCTGTAGATTTAGCCTCCCATGTTTCTTTTCTGATAGGAGCTGCCCATCCAGTCGCCTCAGTCGATGCGTCCAATAACTGTAACATACTGGGTCCACCAATATTTGTGTTGACAACATTAAGAAGCGATATACTAAACCCAAGACCGTTCAAACTTGTCATATAAGTTCCGGCAAGGATTCTGACTGGCTTGATATTGTAGGACTTCTCGAGCTGACCTACAACTTCTGCTGTAATACCTCCCAGCTCTAATACGCTAACACCACCAAGATTATTGACTAGAAGAACGACTTCATTCGAATTCACGTTCAAAAATGCTCGATCCTTGTCCTTCGAATCCAACAATTGCGTAAGCATTCTTTTGACAAGTTCGGGCAGATCAACCTTGGCCCTACCGCTACCGGGCTCATTGTGAATTCCCATTCCAATCTCGAGTTCCTCATAAGCCAGGCTCTCCTCCGAATTTGGATTGGGAGGTGCTCGACCAGGAACATGAACATGGTCCAGGGAAGCTCCCACACTGACGATATTGTCTGCTGTCAATTTCCCAACCTTATAGACGTTCTCCAAACTAGCACCCGTTGCTGCTAATGCTCCTGTGATCTTATGTACTAGTACTGTGCCTGCAATACCTCTTCTGCCAACCTTTCCAGCCTTCTTACGACCAACTCCCACATCATCTCCAACTACCAACATCTCGACTTTCAACCCCGCAGCCTTCGCTTTCTCAACCGCCATACCGAAATTCAACACATCTCCTGTGTAATTCATAACAGTAACCAAGATTCCTTTCTCAGTATCGACTCTTGACATTACACATCTGCGAATTTGCTCGGCACTCGGTGATGCAAATATAGTACCTGCAACAGATGCTGCGAGCAATCCTTCACCAACAAAGGCTCCGAAACTAGGCTCATGTCCACTACCTCCGCCAGATATTATAGAAACTTGAGATTCGTGTCCTGGTCGTCTATAGATGATTTTGTTTTCTTCGTCGAGAGCGACGGAGGGGTTGGTGAGGGTGAGAGCATGGAGAGCGGAGTTCACCAGGAGAGTGGGATCATTGATGAAATGCTTTGCTGCCATTGTTTATATTGTGATTGAGGATGACAATTGAAGAGTGCTTGCCAGAGTGTGTTTTGCTTAGAGAGAGATAGAAAAGGGGGTAAAGAATAGCAATGGATTATAATGGGAAAGCTGTAAAGTAGATGTAGGAAAGCTATCGAGTGAATACTAGGTATATACAGCAGGAGACGGCAAGTAGAAATATAAGAAATTCGAAGAAAAGCAAAGAATAGGAGGGGCGAATGAAGCTAGCCAAGACGGATTAAATATGCATATCTTTCATCACACCACTGCAATGTTTACACAAGTTGGCTCGTTGGCTCGTTAGTCCAAAAGATCAACAATTGGAAGCGGGGCATTCAAGGAAATGCGGGGTGGAAAGCAAGGATCAGCGACAGGCACGTATCTTTCTCGTGGGGGCCCGAGCCGGCAAAACCGTGGGGGTACCAAAATCTTTTTCCGAACCACTGAAGATCCTCAATTTCATAAGCTCGATTCAAGCTCCATCCACCACTGCGATTTCTTGTGAGCTTATCGTTCCCGTTCACTCCGAGACAACAGACACACCGCAATGTCACAAATCTCACTCGTAGCCGTGCCAGGCCAGCTTCTCGGCTCTAGCAGCGAATATCTGCCAGGTCCAGGTACACATATCCATTCCTCGAATCTCTACGCCTCGATCCTTGGACCCATCAAAACAGTAGCACCGCCAAAACCTAGCTATCCCCAAAAACGAGCCACGAAGATTACACCTGCGGCTCCCGCGCCTCTCTCTACTATCTCTATTGAAAGAGCTACACTCACTGGGGACAAGGCCGAGATTTTACCTGAAGTAAACAGTACAGTTTTATGTCGCGTCACAAGAATTACTCCACGACAGGCAACAGTTGCGATATTGGTTGTAGGTGAAACGGTTTTGGAGGGCGAATGGCAGGGCTTGATTAGAGTGCAAGACGTGAGGGCTACGGAGAAGGATAAGGTCAAGATTTTTGAGAGTTTTAGACCAGGGGATATTGTGAGGGCTGTGGTGGTGAGTTTTCTTCTCGAGGTTTAGATGTCATTTAGGAGAACTATGTACTAATGCTTTAACGATGGCAGATTTCGTTAGGTGATCAATCGAATTATTACCTCAGTACGGCGAAAAATGAGCTGGGAGTTATTATGGCGACGAGTGAGGCTGGCAATGCAATGTATCCGGTCAGTTGGAAGGAATATAAGGATCCTGAAACGGGAGCGAGTGAGAGTAGAAAGGTTGCGAAACCATTCTAGATTGCGGGAGGGGAGCAACAGGCCTTTTGACACCTGTTGTATGTATAAGCATAGCGTATGGCGTCGAGGCGTTCGTGGACATAAGGACATAAGGATATACCAATTCACACAAAGTTTATGATCCGGTATTTTCTATTTGCTGCCTGGTGCCCACATTTTGTCGGGTCGAGATAATGGTACACATGAATTTGCTAGGCAGCAAATAGGTGGGCGCAAAGAAGATATATTGTAGCTGGATTCACTTCCCAATTTTTGGCGGACTTATGTTCTTCGTGTATGTCCTCAAGTGAGATCAACATGAACGTTTCTCTTATTATTCCTTATGTTGTCCCTTGCGCCCCAAATAATTCATTGGACAGCCATAATCATGTGCACAATGATCCCAGGAGGAAATCTAGACCACAGATTGTTTCTGGAAATCCATGTTAAAAAAAATCCGGATATCTCATACCGAAAATCTATATTCTGCGAACGCATTTGCATTTTTTTTCCTTTGGAATTGTTGAAATATTGTGCATATCCGACAACCGGAAAACCTACTTGGCTATATCCGGATGGAGGGGCGCGGCATGGTGCACTGTCGTATTTCAAGTCGTATTCATGTTTACATATCCGTGTTTTCATCTTCGTCCCTAAGTCTTGGGTCTTGTTTGTTGCGATTTTATCCTTAGCTTAGAGCGTACTCACACTATTTGATCGAATTCCCTTCCATTATCCTATGTGCACAATCGATATCCCAGGTGCCAGAGTAGTATTCGTCCACCGTCCGTCCCTGCCGCATTTAGAGAGAATCTTGAACGGTGGTAGCGTATAATTTTTGAACTTTATGAGGTATTATGGGCCTTTGTATTGAAGAGCTGTATAAACGCAATTATATTATCACGATTGTAAATTCTCTGGGTTGGCAACATGTCCCAAGTTTCCAAATGTGATATTTGCTGTCGAATTATAGATGTTCATGAGTATACATCCGAAAATGATACGATATGTAAAACGCCGATTGTGTCAACAATAAAAGTAGGCACTTAAGATATAAAAAAATCTTGCGTTGAAACATGCCTCTTAAGTAGACACCTTATTTTGAAGTACATAAAGGTAGTAAATGAATTTCGAAGAATTCGTAGGTATGCAACAAACCCATTCTACGATGAAAAGTCCCGCTCAGGTGCACTATAGTAGTCAGAAGTTATGCTAGATGCTTGTTCTCGCTGTCCCATACTTCACACTTCCTAATTCATTGACCTATTCCACCTCTAAACTGTCATCACCTTCAAGACCAAGTCTTCGGTCCAAAAGTTTCTCCTTCGGCAAGTACTTTTCGAACTGCGGTACCCTGCATATCCATTGTCTCGAACACACCTACATTTCCAAACCACTGTGTTTGTTAGGTTTCCGATATGAGAGAATAGTTCTGATTGTATTTACAGTTCCAAAAGAGAGGTTAGGACTTACTTGAGGTGGTTTAGCATTCGTGAGTTCTAACGTGAAGAAAACGAGAAGAGTGCAGAGGATTAAACCGGTATCCAGAGCGGCGGAAGTTACGTAGTTCTATTCAACAATTATCAGTCCGTATTCATGTTTGAAATTCCCTAATTCATACCACAACTCCTGAACCCCCAGATATAACAGAGAGAAAACATACATAACCTTCCCACCATCCTCTCCATCTTCTCCTAATCCAATACTGGAACACAAATCCCACCAATCCCCAGCACAAATAATTATATCCAGTAGCCGGAGGTATCAGTTGTAAACCTCCAAACATGACGGGGACAATAAGATATTTAAACAAAGAGCGAGGGTACGCTCGCCTTATAAAGTATGTCAAGATTGGAAGCAAAGCACCGATTAGGAAATAGTAGAGTAAAGGTTGATAGAGAGACTCTGGCGCTGAAAAGATACGCGAGGGATCAATGACGCCCCAAATTATACTGGTGGTGAAATACATTGAGGGGCCTGGGCAGGTGTAGGAATCTTTTTGGGTGCGGGTACAGATTCTGAGATGGGGATGTTAGGAATGTGTTTGTTATTTCTAGGCTTGGAGATGGAGGAAAATACTAACTCTGGGATATGAGAAAGTGCCCAATTCATTACGGCAATCTGTACAATAGATGACCAGAAAGCAGCTACACACTGAGCGAAAAACATTGTTCTGGGAGGAACTTTGAGGTAATGACCTAGTTTTAAGTCTTGCAGGAAGAACTGGGCTTGAGTCATTGTTATGTAACCTATAACACTTATTAATAACCAAACAGAACGGGAATCTGAATATGAGTTTTGCGTCATATGATTTCCCAACAGGAGATAGAGACTAACCATAAGCTTTAAATAACATCAAAGCCACAGGACGGCCAGGCAACATGTACCCAATGACAAACTCGGTAAAGACATTAAGTCCAATTTGGATATTGGTCGTGGCGAATATGATACCGACAGGTACTGTCCAGATGACAGGAATAGCAACACAAACAATGAAAGCCCACCATGGGAAATGGGTATCCCAGACGAGGATGACCACAAAGGACAGTGCGAGCATGATGGCTCCGAGAGTGATGTACCACCTACGTGTGAGTTCATCAGTTTTATGAATTTTTAATTAGAAATGGGGAGTATAGGAAAGATGAAAGAGCAAAATACCAATCCGGTGCATCTTTATACTTCTTCATAAGTTTCATGTGGATGTCATCATCTTGATCTCGAGCAAGTTTCCATTGTCTCCAGATGGTTTTGCCCTCATATCTACGTAGATTAGGTATTAACCAATTAATTTCCCAAAACTCTGGCCTCAACTCAGTTCATCGATTCAAATTTAATAGACTCACAAAATTGTATGAACAATGACACTACTAATAGCTGCAAAGGAGAATCCTACAGCAGCAAAGTTCAATCAGCTCCATCCAAATCCCAGAAGCACATCAGAACAGAAACTTACCGTAATTCAACGCAAACCCCGTCGACAAAAACACCGGCGAGTATTTCTTGTACAATTCCTCACTAAATTCATAGTTTGAAGTGAGGATTCGACTGACATTATATGGTTTCGCCATGTTATCATAACTGTGCGAGTCGCTCATGGGAAGATAATCCGCATACCACGTTCCCGTATAATGCACGCCCAGCGAGCTGATGATGACGAAGATGAAAAGCCCGATAAGGGTATTGGCGATGGCATACCAGGGACTATGATATATTAGTATGGGATAAAACTTTCACAATATGTTCGGGACTAGTAGATGCGAGTTATATCGGTTAAGAATGATTTTACTTACGGTATCAACGGCGAATACAGATATCCACTCACAACAGTCCAATCAAACGTGATAGGAATTAATCCCAGACCCGTCACACCACCAAATAGCTGATTGACAACTGGGTTTTTCGGTGCAATCCAGCATGCAAATGTAAAGTATGAAAGGCCTCGGAAGATCCAGCCAGGGAAGAAATACCACACGAATGAACCTAGAGTATTGAATAAATACTTTCTATCTACTAATTTCAACAAGAGATACAAACATACCACTCATGATATATATAAACCATCTATATTTCGATATACTCCAACCATTTGTTTTTGCTGGATCAGAGGGACTGTGATCATGTAGACTACGATCCATATTCAGAGGAAAAAGTCAGCAAGCATCCTCAAACACAAATCCTCGTCCTCATATAATTATCTCTGCTTTTTCAACTTCCAATAACTCAAAGGGGAGAATGATAACTTACGCATACATCAACGCACAATTAACCAAATCACTTGGCCAAATCATCGCCGCAGGCCAAACCAACCACCTCCTACAAATCCCCGCCAATCCAAACCCTAACATTTGATTTGTAACCGCAAAGAGGAGTTGAAACGCCCATCTATACAGACATCTTAATATTAGCCTATCTCCAATTTCCTTCTCACATCCCATAAACCGCAACCCCCAAGAAAATCAAATAGAATAAGAATAACTCAAGCCAACAAAACATACCCAAAACTCTGACCATAAAACACCTGCTGCGAAATAAGTATATCAGTAGCATATATCGACGCACCCGCATACCCCGCATTCGCCATCACAACCACAATCGCATGTTCTTTCATATTCCACTTCCCCTCTTTCAATTGCACTTTCCACCTTCGAGCCCCGCAAAAGGGGAGGCGAATCTCCCAGCTCCAGTCTGGCACTATGAGATCCCAGCCTTTGCCTAGGGGCCAGGCGATTAGTTGCACGCACTGTTGTGTGGGATTGCATCAGTATATCTACTTTTTGTATAACTCAGATTTTCAAGCCACGAGAGGAAGCTATCAAGTGCTAAGAAAGACTCTGTGAGGAATTCAAAAAAGAAAACTCACAACAGTAGTGATAGCGATACTTGGACTCCTCAAACTGAATAGACAGTTGATTCCCCCTCCTACCGTCGTAAGCGCCAACCCAATACACCATGCTCGAATTGTGTTACATGGAAGCGATTCATCATCTATTTTAATATCTTAGCATCGCTTTTCACCTTCAATTCTAAACTTCAATATGCACTTCATAGCTCAAATTAAGATTTGTTTCTTTCAGACCTGTTTCTCTTAAACTCAGGCACAAAGCTAGAAATATGAATAGACAACTACCTGTATTGCGCACCGCGGCGCGGACTTGTGGATACGGTGAGTTTAAGGAGATATCAATAGGTGTGTCCGATACTTTCTCAGGATCGAGGTCTGGGGAAATAGATGTACGGGATGGGATTGATTGGATGGAGATTGGATCAGGTAGATTAGGATCGAGCGAGTGACGAGGCGAGGGAAGAATAAGGGGGACCGGGAGGCTAGTTGTGGCCGAGTGAGATTTTTCATGGTGAGATGAGCCCCCATTTGGCGTCGAGCGTTCATCTACTTCATTTTCCTCCTTGGTCGTCTTAGGTTTCGAGCGATGCGTAAGAAACGAAAATGGCATATTGACTATTGCGGCACGAAGATGAAGGTGGTATCATAAAATCGCAGTCTGCAAGATTCAACATTATGGAATTGCACAAATTACTGTATATCAACACTCCCAAACCAGGATTCCGTAGCACATATCACGCAGTTACAAGAGAGAATGCGGGCGTTGACCAAAATGTTCATGATGTTCTCCAAGCTGAGCTTGGCTCGCTATCTACCCTACTTTGAGCAGAGTACCATTTCTGCATTTAATATCTGATTGAGTACATTGTCTTGGGAGAAGGTATAACATCACCAGAAAGGAAGGAAGTTGTGCGATTTCTGTTAATTAATAGTGCGCCATGAGGATCTTCAGAGCTGAAAATCTGAGACAGTGTGACGCGGGTATTTTGGCAGAATTGTGTTGCTTGTTCGACACATGATCACACCGGATTAATAGGTGCTACTTATGCACGTCATTTGTTATCAGATGGAGCTGCATAATCTCGGGAATCGAAGGATATGTATTTAGCCGTTTTTTCCAAGGATTGGGGGCCACGTTGTACATAGACATTGAAGATTATTTCGTGATTCAAAGCATGAAACTACTCTGTGACGTCCGGAAAATTATCGATGATTGCGCGAGGCTGGTTAACAACGAAAAGAGGAAACTCCTACAAAACCAGACTAGCCCAGTTTGTTCAATGCTTCTCTCAGCCTTATAACTCTACGGAGAAGCAAGATATCTCGGAAGCCCTAGATCGGCATAGCACCATCGCCCAGCAGTTGAGCAGATGTTTCAAGGCAACTATCTCACCCGCGTCGGCGATATGGAAAAATGAGGCGAACAATGAATATATTGTGATCAATGCATAAATGATTTACAATCATGTCTCTAAGAGCCTCGCGTCTCCGGGCTTCCGGGTTTCGACCCGCTAGAGGACCTGCCTTGATTCCTTGAGTCTCACATGCACCCCTCACCAGTCTTTTCAACGGACTTACTTATCTGCGTTTGGAGTCCGCAGACCACAACTAAGTGGAGATTTTATTCCTCAAATCTTACGGCTTGGTCTGCCGACAAAACCGATTAATTCCGTCATTATACAATCGTTCACCGAAGTTCTTCATGCTGTCTGAGGGGAAATACAGTCAGCTTATCAAACTACATGGGGTTTCATAGATGCCTTAATCGCCTCGCTAAGTACCAATAGCAAGGCTACTACTACTACGCTACTTTTCCCAGGATTTTGCACGAAAAGCGCCCCCAACGATCTGGCCATCAGCAGGCCTAAGTTTTGACCAGGGTCTTGATAAGATTGATAACAGCCATAATGGAACAATTTGACGTAGTAAATAAGCTGTAGACGACAGGAATGAAGGATTACCTGATTGACCGCTATGTTGTTATCATACGAGCCTTTAGCGCAAACTCCTATTGATATCGGCGAAGAGTGTGAGATTGCACGAAGAATTTCAGCCGTTAAAATGTGACAATCATGAAATTGTGCGAATCTGATGGATGAAGCTTTAAGAAATGCAATGTGACTCGACGTCATCAAGAGAGCGAAAAGACCCTGCAGAATCCATCCGTTACATTGCTGTTTCGCCTCGAAGCGATGTTTTATCTAAAGTTCATTCGCCCGGAAACAAAGATAAAACTCCCGAAAACCTTCCAGTGCAGGATATTTCAGCAATTTGAAGAAGCGGTCTGTGATGACCCCCTTGTAGCTGTTGTATTTGTATATCAATAAGCAATGGCTATGTCTATGAAACAGTTCATGCAATACCGTTAAGATCTATGGATGCACGCAGCAGACTTGTGGCGTGGTCCGAAACATGGGGCTTAAACTAATTTTTTTTGACTATGACGGCGCACGACGAGAGACCTCACGATATAATTTGCTTGACATAGATGAGATGGACACATAATCATATCGCTTTTGAAGCTTGAAAGAAATGGCATCTCGGTCAACAGTTATTGTGCCGAGTTGATATTCTGATCAGCCTTATATTTTTTTTACATCCAGTACTGATCACTTGATCATCACTGAGGTAGCCTTATCAAGTTGTTACCCCGCATCGTCCACACCAATAAACAATGAAAAAGCCACGCTATGGGGGGGGGGGGGTTCAGCTCTAAATTGGTCATGGGGCTGTTTTCATAACGATGCAACTTTCAAGACTATCCCGCACGGCATGTTACCATCGCAAGATTGTACTTCAATCTAACGAAGCCGAAAAGTAAGGCAAAAGGCAAAAAAAATCATCGACTCTTAGTATATTTGAGACACACTTGAATGATTACAGGAATATAAGGCTATTCCTGAAGATTATCGAGAAAGGAAACATGAGACGCCCTGGCTTGACGCTAGCTTTGAACTTCTAGTCGGATCGATTCCTGCAAGTAAAATTTCCGATTGTCACCTTCCCTCCACTCCGTGTAGAATAACTAGGGAGACGATCTTAGATGCAGCTTCCACTTTCAGTAAAGAGCGCGAGGGATTCAATTGGTGCGCTTCTTGTGCAGCAATGAATGACGCGACAAGGCTGAATGTTAAAGTAAGCCTTCATCCGTTTAGGGAAAGTCCTTTGAGAAGAAGTTTAGCCTAAAGGTTCTAGAATTGTTCCATAAACTGTAACATTGATTGTCTAGGTATGCCTTCTTTCAAGATGATAAATAGAGAGAGAAGAGAAATTTCCAGAAAGCCTTCAAAATTGTGATCGTTTTTAATGTCGACGAGGTTCCAATATCCAAAGAGTAAGCCATGAACGCGTAAAAGTTGAGGGCGTAGAAATTAGTTGAAAGAAGGCTGGGTCGACGCCTTTCAAGCTAGCCACCGCGATGCATTAGAACACTGCTTTCTAGTCAGATTAAAATGCACCCTGGTAAGCTAAATTTGAATGAAACATTGATTTTCTTATTCCCGCTAAGGACCTCGGGGCGTCATGAAATGCTAGTGGTGGTGGTCAGAGATATATTCGTAAATCGCGCAGTGCCGGTGACTCTTGAAGATAGTTCTAATTAGCCAAAAGTATCGGTACACTTACCGCAATGGCAAGCAGAAGATCGGACATGCGCTTAAGTTTGCCTAAGCCGTACCGCAATAAAAAGTGCGCTGATTAGGCTATTGAGCTATTTTATAGTGTACATACACCACGTCAGTTCGGGGCTGATAGTTAAATAGGCTAGAATCCGAGGTGCCAACGCCCTCCAACAAAATCAAATATGTAACCTACGAGTAAAACTTTTTAGAGTGGTCTAATGCAACTCGAGTCGCGTTCGATAACTATCATCGCTGCCTATCACACAGAAGAAAGTTTTGGTCGCGAAAGTTGTGGCACGTCTCTAACTACAAATTGAGCCAATGCATGTGTAACATGACAGATTTTGTAAACGCGGTTACATTCGGTTAAGCATCCATTACCCGAATCAGCCGATTCAACCGAAAGTACCAAAAGTACCGAATTTGCCTCGTCGGTTGGTACTTCGGTCTGAACTTCGCATTTGGTATCCCGTGATTCGGGTGGGATTATTGCAAGGCTGGCCCGCACTGCTACAGGTGCCCTTGTATCGTCCTACATTCTTCATAGATAAATTTGAAGCTTCTTTATTTGGGTTCATGCTGCGTAGGGTTGCTTGCTGGATCGATCAGTAAAGCAGTTCTCCGTAGAGCGCACAATTCGTTCACAGCAACTCGCTCAAAATGTTTTCACCAATCTTCAAAAATATCAGTATGTGCGTAAATTCATCAATCATGATTCTCATGGCTGCATTAAAATTGAAATATGAGAGCCCAGCCTCGATAGTTACAGCCAAGAAGACTGAAAAGAAGAATTGAAAAAGGAAACAAACGTATGATATGTTTATGCTCGTAGGAGAGTGAAGATGATCATATCAACATGCTTCGATATTTGGATCATGAATGAAACCAAATTCCCCATCCTGACACCAGATAAAAGACCATATGTTATTTGGATGCCTGAAAGCTTGTACCACCACCACCGCTCACAAAATTGTCCGCGAAGACCACTCTCTGGGCGCTGATATCTTCCATATATCTCAGGAAGTGTGTTGAATGACTTCCTCTGAAGTAATCTGTACATTTTAATCAGGCTCAATGTACTTCTGAAGCTGCTTGCTGTAGCACATACCAACAGTTTAGTAGGGTACTATCATCATCAACCTTTTATGGTGTCTTCAGCCCTGTAGCTTGCTTAGGTTTTGACTGATATCCTTGCTTCCGTCTGTGACTCAATCTTTTGGTGATGTATCTGCCGCAGTCATCGTGGCCGACGACATTTCTTCTTCAGCATCAAGATTAGTTTCTACGGTTGACCAAGTTTCTGTTCTTGGAAGGCTATCATTAGTGGTTGCTGAAGCAAAGGTCATGGATCGTGATTTTGAGAACTCCAACTCTGCATGACTACCCTGGACAGAAAATTCTGGCTTGGAACTATCGAAGATGATCCATGGGCCAGCATCAGCAATGCGACAAGCTAACCACAGTATGCGTTCTTTTCTTTGCTCCAGCATAGATGCAAGCTCGTGATATTTCTCTTCTTCATCAGTTTTCTCATTGAGAAACCATTTTTCGGGGAAGTATTTTTCTGACCATAATAACCCGCGCATTCCGTAGTCTTCCGGAAATGGCCGGACGTCATCCTTCTCTGGTAGTGGGAACTTATCATCCTCAATACGGCTGAGGGACTTGTAAGATTTGAGTAACGTATTGAGCATGATTGCTAGAGATTGCCATGGAAACGCCGGTGCCAAAAGATCCATTGCGCCCGAAAACTGAGACATGCGAAACAAGAAAACAAGAGAAACATGAATAAAGGGAAGTACATTGGGATCGCCTATTCTTTGTAGTACGATCTCTAATGTTGAATAACTGAGGTTCTGTGCGTGTCTGAATGCTATCATAGAAGGAGAGGATTCGTCTCGAGACTCATCCATATCAACGTCGACTTCTTTAGCTGAGGAAGGCGCAATAGCTGTCATCAGAGGATTTTCTTTAGACGCGAAACCTAACATTGCAACGTTGTTGGAGATAGCAATGTGGCAGCCTTGCTCCATGAATTTTTTGGTTACCCGACCAATTTGGCTATCAAGTAGTGCGAGGAATTCTTGTACTGCGGGTTCAAACCTCTCTATGGCCCTGTTTGTAAATAAATGTCCATGGGCTCGAATGAATGCAGCATCCAAAGAGGGTAATCGACATTGGCCGTGTCCATTCTCAGCATGAAGGACAGGGTCGAAGAGTGTAAGTATCGATTCTCGTGCAGAGGTGAAGGGCACAACAACACACAAAGATTTTGCATAGTAATACAATTGTTGGAGAGCATTTGGGCGTGCTAGAATAGCAAGATGGTGATATAGCCTACCAGTCGTTGGGGCTTTATCGGAAGCCTTCGAATACCAATGACGTGCGACACCAGTCCAAACCTCTCTATCTCTGATATCGTCATCCTCAATGGCCATTCTGTATCTTCCTAGATCTCCCAAGCACTCAATCCAAGTATCTTCGAAAGCTGGCACTGTTTCGTATAACAATGCCATCATGGAATATGCTAAATATATGAATGCAAGCATGTGGTCAAGCGAGGCAGGTAGCCGATGTCTGAGCAATTCTAAGAATGAATGGATACCATGCCGCCACATTCTAGCAGGCATAGCGTATTTCGATGCTAGTCTACGTAAAGCAGGACTAGCAGATGGATGTTGAGAGGCTAGGAAAAAATCATGATGCTCGTGAAGTAAAGTGCGATGCAATGCAATGAGGGCTTGCCATTGTTCATTATTAAGCCTCGGTTGCGTAGGAGGATCACCCTGCACAAGCGTAGCTTGCTTGTTATCAACCTCGATACACTTAGCCTCAACCATTACAAGTCCAGCATATATGCCTTTGACCTCTGCTACAAGTTGCTCTTGAGAGATGGGCCTTGTCTCTGGCTGAAGAATTATGTTGTACTCTTCACTTTGAGGTCTTGGTTCAATTTCTGGCACTGTTCTATTGGGTAAGATTGCGGATGGGGTGTTGGCCTGAGCATGATGATGTTGTTGTTGTTGCTGCTGCTGCTGCTGCTGCTGCTGCTGATGGTGGTTCGTATGTGGTGCTGATCGAGATGTACTTTGGGGTGTAGATGGTTTCGCGGTTCTTCGATTCGCCGGTCTGTACGCTTGAGCTCGAGATCTTGATGCTTGGATCGAAGCAATGTTGGAGGGATCAAAGGATGACCTTGTGAACGGGGAGTCTTGATCGGGAGTCCACAGTTGTCCCTTGGTAGCCTGTCGGCGAGTCTCCGTGTCTTCTGCGGAAATTGGTCCAGAAGTCGGTCGAGCTAAAGATCTTCGCGGTGGGGGTGAACTTGAGTGTTCTCGGAATGGCGATGCTGAACCTGCTGATATACCATCTCCGACGGCAGCTCTTTTGCGTGGCTGGTCTGTTGTGATTTCTTCATCCTCCATCGTATTATCCTCATTTGGTCCCAAGTTCAAAGCTTGAAGGCCAGAAAGCGATCGAGTTGGCTGGGGTGAATTTAAGGGTCTCTTAGACTGTAAGTGTGGAGATGGTGCGCCTGCTTGAGCAGTAGACGCCTCATTATTTGAGGGCTTCCGGGATTGAGCATCGTCCTTCGTCGGTCTTTGTGCTCTAAGTCAGCCTTACTTTTCCATTTTATTGGTAGCACACAGCCTTGCATGATCTCGCCCCCACAGATATAATTATCAGCGGATCTACTAACCTCTTCAATGCACTATTACTCTCATAAGATTTTCGAAATTGATCCAGTGCATCTTGATCTGATGGAATCTTGTCGTGATGCTCTTTTTCTGCATGGTTCCACAAGTCTGTTTCGGAATGACATATCTTGCGCTCCGGACAGTATATGCAGGCCCAGGATTTAGTTGTTTTTGTGTTTCTGCGCTGGTGTTGTATCCATAGATCGCTTACATCTGCTTTTGGTCTGTTCATTTCTGAATTCTTGTTAGTACCATTTCGAGATTGATGTCGTCGAGACATGGTTAGAATTTGAGCGGGTTATTTCAACATGACATTGACGTACCGGCCTGGGTTCGGAGTTGGGCGATGGTCTGATAAGTAATTGGACATGTGCCTTGATTTTAAGGTTTCGATAGTGACAAATACATGCGATAGCAGGAGTGAATCAATTGGGTATAAGACTCATTGAATGTTCAAAATGCACAGCGATAGAATAGAGTAGAATTGGCTTCTTGATGAAGGAATAGATATTTAGCTGTTTAAATGTCCTTCATATATATGAAGACTTTTTTTGAGCCGCGTCCATTGAGTAAATGGAGAATCTTGACCGGGCTGGAAGATTTAGGCAAAAATGCGAACCATTGCAACCCATTTTGCAAACCATTATATTCGGTGAGTTCTTCCCCCACTAAAACAGTCACCGAGCTATAGGGAAGTGATCACTGCTTGTTAGTCCTAGGTATGTAACTCGTATAATTTGATGTAGATTTATTAGATTGATGAACATGAGATACGACATCTGAAAGACTGAATATATACAGAGATATATAGGTATGATATGTATGTATATTTACAAGAAGCACAAGTTATCTGTCTTGAATTTACTCGTCTAATTATTTTGCTGGAATATTTGTGGTATAAACATCATTTTCCTTCCATGACTACTACCTACCTACCTGAGGCTGTTGCTATCTTATTAATATGTGCACCAATTTGCTTAACCGGGACACAGTCTGTCTATCTTGCATATGGACCGTCAAGGTACTACAAAGTTAGGTAATCCCAATCGAGCTCGCACATCTAAACAGCTCTCAGCCTGTCCCCATATTCTGTCAAGTCTGTTATGAAATCTCTTCAGCCTCAGTCTTAGATATTCCATCCTTTCTTCCATAAGGCTAAGCTCCTTTCTGTTTTCATACTCAGCTCAGGTTCGCCTCTGCTGTCCAAACCATTGACGTTGTAGTTTGAGGTCCCAAGTCCCGTAGCTTCAGCTTGACACAAGACCTCTATAGATATCTGCCCAAGGGCTCATATCCACTTCTCCTTCCTTCATCATCAGATCTTGCCTCTACACATTTCACATTTACATTCTCGCAATCTATTTATCATTTTACGACTTACGAGCGTAGATACAGTAAGACAGTCCGCCAGCGAGGTAACTGTTGTACATGCTGTAGCGAAGTAGTCTAGTAAGATGCTCAGCTCTAATTTCATCTTTTGACGCTACACGACTACTGTCAGATCTTTCGTTTACGCCCCTTTCCAACAACATTATCTCACATCTCATCCTCAAGATTGGAACCAACTCGTTGGATTTCAAGTAGTCAATTCCTCACGAAAACAGAGGAATTGACTCACTCTGCTTACCCACCTACAGTTGGATCGTCGTAGTTGAGAAGGATTCAGATGATTAGGGACGGGCGCCTTGATGGCGGAGTATGTTTCAGACCCATAACAGCTTCCTCGTCAAGGTCATTTCTTCCATCGAAAATTACGCATTTGACACTTTACAAACGCGTAGAAATAGACCATTAATTTCTTAACACTGTTCATATATGGCGTTCAGGAATCCAGGCGCGTTAAGACAAAGTTTCGGGAGGAGTCTTTGCCGAGTCCTTGCCTGGTGACTAGGCACATCACTCACATCAAGACTTGATATTTAAAACACTTACCAGGTGACCAATTTTTCTCAAACTGAAGGAACTTTAATTATGTTGTTTTGTCTGCCTTCAATCCTTCATTACATGTGAGCCTCTGTGAGCAAGTGCAGCACAGATCGCTAAGGAGACAGTGATCGAAGTTAGTGAATAAAGTTTGTTTTCACCGCTCTGAGGATTTGAGTCTTTGATGCTTTATTATGCGCTGGAAATTCATCAGTAGTTGTGGAAGTATCTCAGCTCGGTGTCGTATTTTCAGACATCTTTGGTATATCATGTCGAAATTAAGGTCGGCGTTGATGCCATGTTTTCTTATTCAGAACATATGAGGCATGCTCCTTGTCCTAAGATCCTGGACTATCATGATTGTTTGCAGAATTGCTTCTTTTCCCGGGGGATATCAGATTGCAGGGCTTAAGCTGAATCTTGGATCTAATCGGACAAAAGTATCTCAGTTGATTAAGAGCCTTGTCGTGATTCATGCGCGGCTCACTCGCCATTTTTAGACACAGCAAAACTGATGATTCAGAGTACGTGCCCGAAGTAAATTCTCTCAGATGATAATTTTGTCAAGCTTCGTAAGCTGGCTACGAAGATATTGAGGCTGGGTTAAAGACGCGAATACTTCAAGGTTTGCCCAGCATTTGTATTTTTTCAGCCACCCACTCACGCAAGTGTTTGACAAAGCCCGATTAAAGATGCAAACGTTTCATGATAGTGAAACTTAGAAGTGGGTTTAAGAATGTTACCTTAGAGATTGCTCTTCTTTCTTTGTCACAACAAACGCGCAGGCCCGACATGCAGATCTATGCGCGTTAGTCCATTCGCACACCGCGCATCTGCGCTTACCCATGTTTACCAGAATTATATTCTGTGGTACAAGTATGATTTCATGTTTCCTAACTGACATCCGTATAACTGGCGCATCAGGTCAGCAATCACGGGAGCATGCTTCTTGCCACTATTCCGTTTGTAAGCTCCCCTATTTATATCCGGTTTCCATTGGAGACTTTCCAGAGCATAAGCGTTGTTTGCCTTACAGTAGAAAGGTGACTTTCGCTTTATAATATCGTGACGGTGGCATGGTAAATATCACCTGTTTTCGCGGACTTAAGCGCACCGGTGAAATCCGGAGGAGGGGAGTAATCCTCCCGTCTAGAATTGCATGATAAATCCTTCATCACTCATTTTCTTCCGCTCGCTTCCCGCTCCTTGGGAATCAATAATCCGTTTATGCTCGCTGCAAATCCGAAGCACCTTTGCGAACATTTGTCCGCCAAGCGAAGTGAAAATTCCAGTTTTGTGTATCGCAGGCAAATGGTAAGTCTGCCAACGTTCCCGCGCAACCGAATTACTGGTGTGGCTGTTGGCTGATGCAGGGATAGCGGCCAATTATATCTCTTTAAATTCAAGTGTGGATGAATCATCCATTGAGGGAACGTAAATATAATCCCTGCTTCGGTACCCCCAACTGAGCCGACTCTGAGGCTGTGTGGGATGGCGAAGAATTTTTGGAGTAAATTTTTTGGAAATCTATCTGTAAATTAATATTTTTTTTTTCAATGAGACCAATCATGCGACAATCGCGATATTGACAAGATCGCTTTTCCACTTCTACGCTGGTAACCAAGTTCCGCTGGGCTTGGGGTGGCGTTCTCGCCACTTTGCAATGCTCCCCTGAGAAGAATTTTTTTCGGCGCATTGGCTTTCAAATCATATTGTAATTTGTAACACCTCTTCGATCTATGAATATGTCTCTGATTACCATGTTGCCCCTCGGTCTTGACTCTACGAGTATGCTCCCTTTTGGTTTGTCATACTGCATCCTCGATCAGCTAACCAACTGAAAGAAGTTGTCTTAGTTTCTACAGCTTGATTACCGCCTATGGAAAGCCCAGGCAACGTTCAATACGCAATCCTCTGTTTTGCTAACGCTTGTTCTGGACTAATCATGTTCTCAAGACTGACTGTCTGTCGAATCCCAATGCTTAGATAACTATATTACGGCCCCTGGAGATCAACGCTGGAATGTCATCTTTGTTATTCTTCGAATGACTGTGACCCAGTAAATTGGCTATCACCAACTTTGTCATCCAATATCGGCTTCCTTGGAGTGTGGCAGAAGATCGTATTCGTTTCAAGCGCGATCAGTCATAGCCAATGTATCAATTTCCCAGACACGGTGAATATCGATAGTGCATCATCGCACTGTCCATGCTTGCTAGAATCTGTTTAGCTTGTTCGCCTTTGCGATACCGTCGCATCGAGATGCCTGTTGCGCGTCGAGGTGCCCTTTTCAGCTGACAGAAATTGGAAAGGAAGTAGGCAACAGCATAGCTAGGAATGGTGTAGAAAACTGGAGACTCTGAAGATCACATTTATAGGCCTCCTGTCATCTTAAAATTGCTCTCGGTGTTACTTTCTTGGCCAATCTTTGAGCCTCATAACGAATGATCACCGGAAACTGCTGCTGACCTAGCTGGGAATTATAATGACTCATTCAGGCAAGCTGCTGAATATTCATCTCCCAGGGTCCACAATACGGAAGTCCCATACTAGTGCTTTCAATATGACTGTTGAAACGAGGCCTTGTGTCGATAGATTGTGGGGCCAGTAGACATTGTGTGGTTGCGTGGAGGATAGTAGAAAGATATGAGATGCATTCATCCGTATATGCGGCTAAGAAATTTCAAAACCCATGCTTTGCGAGTCCTTCAAAAATCCAGGCTAGAAACCCTGTGGTCAAAAACGGTCTTGCTCCTTGGAAAATTGAATTTCTCTGGCTGGCGTTTTAGATTAAGTCAAAATTGAGCCCACTCAGAAATTCATTCACCCATGCTCAATACTTGGTCGATGATCGAATTTCGAGACTTTCGAGACTCAGGCTCGTGTTTTGTAACACTGCCGCCAATGGTGATGAAGAGCCTGAGATTGCAGGTGTTTGATTTGCCGCCCTGAAAGAACAGCATCACGATATTGGATCGGGTTGATACGGCTTCGATGACGTCTGCTGTTTTATTTACACTGAAAATATGCTCTTCTTGCTACAAGTTGATGCCCGATTGGCATTATAAAATTTGCCTCGCGTTGTGTTAAAACAACTCTTCCGATATTGCATGCTTGTGACCGCGCTCAATGTGATAAATGATATACCCCATCAAGCTGGGATTTGCCATTGAATTACCGGTTATACCACTGAAAGTATGGATTGCGGGAATTCAAGACACACGCCCCTCTGAAGGAGATTCTGCTTTGAGAGCTTAAGCTTCTTCGAAGGAGGATATGCCCAGATATAGCTACCCGCCCTATGATGTTGCCATACGTGAGGCTAGCTATAACCTGCCATCATTCCACTATCCGGGA